ATTTAAAAAAATTAGAAAATCCACTCTGTTTTTTTTTTAATACATCAATTGGACCTATTAGTACAAACATTTGAACTTAGGAAACATACTGGCCTAAAGTTCAGTTTACAGGATAAAACTACTTTAAAAAGGTTAACTTCCATGGTACTTTAAAAACATGTCATATTTGGATTTTCTAATCAACCTAATAATAGAGTCAATAAATAGTTTCAGGCAATCGGTTTCTTCAAATCATTTCACTTCAACTAACTTATCAAGTTTTACAGTAAGCAAACAAAATGACTCACTAGTAACAAACCCAATAAAACAAAAACAGGTTGGAAAGACATCGAAACAACAGGGTTTACGTCCAAACGACGTCTACATTTGGTTGAAAAGACGTCATTTTGAGATCATTGAAAAGATCTTTTTAACGTCCATTTTTCGACTAAAGTGGGACAAAATCAGACCGACCAAAAAGAGCCCGTTTTTCAAAAACTATTACTGGACTAAATTTATGATGAATCGACCAGATTCAGCCTGAGTGACGTCTGGTGTTTGATTGATTGACTTTATTGATCTCACAGTAGAGATATTTACTCGTTACATCAGCTAAAATAGTCAAAGGAGAAGAACGTGCCAAACAGTATATATAGTGGGTCCACATATTATGGCTTTCTTTTATTATTTTATGTTTTATAAACAGTAGAATCATTATACTGTGTTATTGCACAGGGTGTTTACACTGGTATTTATATGGATAGGTATTTTTATATATAAAGTTATTGCACTGGGTGTCAAATATAGGCAAACAGTTATTGCGCATGGTATAAAAAAGGTAAATTGCACATTATACATTGCACAAGTTATTGCCGTTGTAGTGTTTGGGGGATATAAGGCGGCTCCAGCACTGTAGACAGAGGAGCATCCATCACTGCCCGCTCAGGTCCGGCTTTATTTACTTACCGGTAGGTTCTAGTCACTGAAAGGCAGATTTACGAGCTTGTTTCTATTATGACCACAGATTAAACCTAAACCTGCCCCCGTCAGACTGCAGACAGAGATGCTGTAGCAGCCTCCATGTTGACTGAGGGAGGTCAAAGGTTAAAGAGGAGAAGAAATGTGCTGTTTACCTGTGCAAAGAAAGAAACAACGAAAGAAAAATGTCTGAGG